AATACATTTTGGCCAAAAAAAAAAAAATGAGCTCAAACAGGCACAAAGAAACCAGGAAATTTTATGTGTCAATTTTCATTATAACAACTACCACCATGAGGGATGTTAACCGGTCGGGGTTGGGGCAACCATTCCCGTCCCCTGTTTTGTCAAAGTAATTTGTCACCTTATCCCACACTGATACCCAATTAAGGTGGAACGGGGACCGCTCTGTGTTACTTAGTATTATTATGAATTTTTTTTCACGTCGTTAGTTGGTAAAAATCTATACTTCTTTACCAATTTTTAGAACAATTCACGTTCCATTAGAAATGATGATTAATATTTTTTTGTGTGTGTAATAAAAAATTAAATTTGAAATGGACTTTAAATAGTGCAAATAACGGGGACAATGTTTTCCGTATCCGTCCAGTGCAACCAATTAGATGGGGGATTCCTGCCCGTTCAGGATGGGCACCGGTGATATCGAGTTTAACGAGTTTTTTTGCCATCTCCCAGAAGTAACTGGGAACACGACATGAAACAGTATAATTTTTAGTGTGGACGCCAAAGAAATCTCAATCTGAAGTTTTCATTGTGCCTTTCTAAAGAAAAAGCAGAAAACAATATTCCCAATCTCGTAATCCAGTACTCGAGAGCTCAGCTGCATACTTCATTTACGAGATAGGGGGGAGGAAAGTACCAAGCTTCTGCTGAGAAGCATTTCCTCCCTAATGGCTGCAACCAACTGGAAATGTCCTAATGTTGTTTGAGGAAAAGAGTGGCAATCCAAGAAAGAAATATTTTTCTACAAGAGAGAATAAAGACTATGCTCACTAGCTTCTGAGATTTCACCACCTTCATTTGAGAGCGAGCTTCGGATCGAGAGACAGAAAAGGATGCAGGACCTATTGTAGAGTACCCTTACCTGAATCAGGTCACATCTTCAACCAAAGTTTACGAGTTTTGTAACTCGCTTGGAAAGAAGTGAAAGTTTTAGCCAAACACAACAGTCAAGAAAATCATTTACATCAGTTATCAGATCCATTTTTAAATCCTCATTTCCTTCAACACAGCCTGCAATACTTCAGGTGTATCCTCATCTTCAAGCTCTAAATTTTTCTTTAAAGGACATGTTGCCTTGGGGTTCCAATTAATATAGTTGGCGATCCATGCATAGGAATTAAAAAGAGCATGGCAGTAAAAGCTGGCTGCTTGTAAGTGCTGAGGAAGAAAAGGCCATTTTAAAAGTGGCAAATTGCCACAGGGACTTCCAAAATTAAACAAAGAGGAATTTCAATTTAACTAGTAAAGAATACCGTTTTCAAAAAAAAATTGCTGAAATACAGCCGCTAGTTAGGTCAGGTAATGCATCATACATGTATAGCTGTGTTACTGTGCATGTTT